GATTTAACTATCCAATATGTTTACTATCTTTAGAAATAATTGTTGGAAAGTTGTTTTTCTTTATTTTTAAGAAAGCTGTTTCATCCTTCATAGAGCAACTGTTACTGACTTTAGACTGTGCAAAGAAAGACTATTGTTTATTCCTAATTATCATGAGATAAATTGTCATGGAAAAAGCAGTGTCTTGAATCCTGAAATTATGACCAATGTGCACTTCTGTCAGGAGTTCCAGATCTGGTCAAATAAATATTATTTACTAAATGCATCTCATCATTTAGGGCTAGTCTAGATGAATGGGGGATAATCTTTTAAGTGAAAGAAGACCAAAGAAGAATGTGCATTCCCTTTCTCCTTTGTTGTAAATAGCCTTGATCAGCCCAACCTTGCTTAAGTATTCAGGTTGCAGCTAAAGCCTTTTTCAGTCATTAATTTATTTGGAGCACTCAATTTGTAAACTCGCTGGGCAGCATAGTTAGAAGCTGTGTGTGTGTAAGCTTTTCTCTTCCATATAGAGGTGGCAAATGGCAGAACTGCCTGTAGAACGCCAGTATAATTTGAGCTATGTAGGACAAGGGTAAGGGGGAATGCTCATGTTGTGAGTGTTCCAGTTTCTGTACTGTGAAAACAGGACTAAAAATAAATCAGATTCTCTATTTAATCAATATTAACCAGCCAGTAAAGTGGAATCAATCATTATTATCAATAGCATTGATACAGAAATTTCCCAGTTAAAATGGAATGATTTGTTCAGAAGGGGGGAAGTGTTACTTCCCATGAATGACTCCCAATATCATAACCATGATAAGAGATTCCTTATTACCTTACAAGATGTTGGTAATGCCTGTTCTGTACATTGTCTAATTCAGTTAGCCTATTATTTATGGATTTATATTATGGGATTTTTGTCAGTCAAGCCATTAGCAAAATAAATTATTAAAACACAATTTCTATTTAAAAAAAAATTAAAACAAGCTAAAAAATATCCTGCACGCTTCTCCAGTTCCATAGCCAAAGCATGCCTATACATCAAATGTCCTATCTAAAATTTAAAAATAAATAAAAACAGTTTTGCTTGCTGGAAGACAAAGCTTGGGAGAAGCCACCAAGAATGCCTTCTTATCAGCCTTGCTTCCAGGGATGGCATAATCAAAGGTATGACTCCTCTACAAAATCATAATGCTCAGCAGTCTTAAATGGAATCATATGATAAGATCATAAGTCCAGTTGTAAGTCAAATTATCTTTAAACATGAATCATAAGTTTCTGGAGGCAGCCTCCATTAACAGCGTGATGCCCATGTTTTGATTATCTGCAGTTACCAAACATTTCTCAAGGGCAATTCCACATAAAGTTGTAAGAACCATTTCACAGACTATTGTAAGAATGCTTCTAAGCAAATGATATCAAATGCATCCTAGAAGACAGCTAAAAATGAGTAAATTGCCAAGACAGCTAAGCAAATAATAGATCAAACTTTGCTTTAATTAACATTCATTTTATAATGTATTGGTATTGTATAAGAAGCATTTGGTATATTTCTTTCAGTCATCCTTTGAAAAGAATTTTATCTTTAAAGATACCTGTGTATTTATATTGAGTTGTTTGTAGCTTGCAAACAACTAGCAGCCTGCAAACAAAAGTGGATTTGTCTAATCCACTTTTAAAGGTATGCACTCTGGCACCATCACTATTTTGTGAAAGTGAAGTCTATTGGTTAGTCCTATTTTGTCTAAAGAAGCAATCTCTTTTGTCATGCCCTGAATCTCCTACTATTCAAATTGGTTTGATAAAGTTTCTGTCAACATAATGAAGTTAAATCATGTCTTCCTTGATTTCTGTATCCTTTCCTTGTAGGATAATTTTTGCAGTCCTTTGATTATTTTGCAGTCTTTTATAATTCAGGAGACTGGGTAAAAAGAGGCAGCTGCAACATTTTGCCAGCAAGGATTGGTGAGAATGGAGTTGCTGGAATAGTGAGCAGAGAATGGGAAGCTTAGAGAGGGAAACAGAGGTAGACAGTTTCCAGTGGCCTTGTGAAGCCACCGCTGCCACACTGGAGTAAAGAAAGAAAAACTGAGCTCAGAGCTCCACAGACTAAGGATCTGATTAGGAGGGAGAAAGAGGAGTAGACCTTAATTTGGGTTTTGAGAACTGCCTCTGGAATGAGAGACAGAAAGCAAAGGAGAAAACCACTCTAGAGTGACAGAATGGGGGATGTGAGGTAGCTCCCAACTCCAGAGTAAGTTCAATAGTACTTTGAATAAATCTTTTTAAAGTTTTACCTTCAATACCTTCTCTCTCAATACAATCAAATATTGTATTGAAGGAGAAGGTATTCCTCTGGTAGGAATTTTGAGGGTAGGAGAAGGTGATAATATATTAGTAGGATGATGGTAGGTCTAGGTAGGCTTGGAAGGTATTTTTTTGTGAATTGAATAGTTGGCCTTGTGGGTAATTAAGAAATGTTTTGCATGTTACTGTCCCAGAGGTGGGGACTGAGCAGTAGCTCCCAAGGACAAAGTTTACATAAGACAGAAGTAGGTATGACAGCAAGGGCTGGCTATGTGGTTAGAGTAGAAGGGAATCCACATGTTGGTGCAGGTCCCATCTAATCCATTGCCCAAATACTGGGCTTGGGTAGCTGGATTATTGGATATCTTGTTCTCAGACTGGTGTTAATTAATGCTAGATCTGTCTAGAATTCAGTCTCGTGGTGGATGAGCATGCTAACCTGGTGTGTATTAAAAGACTTTGTTGGGCACCAGTGACGACTTATTTTCCAAGGGTTTGGGTCCTGAAGCAGCCAGGACACCAAGGGTGAGGAAGTATGTGGACAATCATTGAGAAGACCTTAGCACTAGCCAGTAACAGTGTCATGATATCTGGATGTTGGTGCCATTATATTATATTTAGCTACTATAGGGAGCCTGCCACTGTACTGTCTGCCCCATCATCCAAGAGTGGGCATCCCAGAGCTCCACATTGGTAGTCTGGGGTCAGAGTTGGAGTCAGACAAGCTTCTAATAGTGGGCTGTTTTGATCTCCTTGACTTGGGAGTGGTCCAGGAGTTCATGATCTCAATAGAGACCATGAATTTATCCCAGCTATTTTAGGTTGGGTGCAGTGCTACCAGGAAGGTGATGGTACGCCCTCTCTTGAAGAGGCCATGTCCTGATCCAACTTTTCTTCTTTGAGATTTTGGTGGGAAATGAGCTACAGAGAATCCAATAGAAAGCAGATTATCTGGCTCTACTTCAGTCTTGGAACAGAAGGAACACAGTTTAGTCTGGTGCGTGATCATCAGGACTTGGATGTAGGGAAGAGGACAAACCTCTTGGTCCTATTAGACCTCTTAACAGCTTTTGATACCATAGACCATAGTATAGTATATTTCTAGACAGAGGAATGGAGGTACCATAGTAGCCCCTTTCAGTGGTCATGGGAGAAGAAAGATAAAGCTGATGCTTGCTCTAGTGTAGGACACTGCAGAGCTCGGTTCTCTTCCCAATGTTATTTAACATCTATATGGAACTGCTAGGAGAGGTCACCTGTCAGTTCGGAGTGAGGTACCATCACTATTCTATATCAATTGTATTTTGCTATTCTGAGTTGGGGCTGAAATGCTGTGGAGGTCCTGAACCAAAGTCTAGGGTCTGTCAGGGACTGGATAGAGATAAATTTGACTAAGCCTAAGAAGTTGCCAGCCCGAAATGGACGACACTTCAGCGGTTCGAGCCCAAGCTCTGTGCAGCGGGGGGGATTCCTGTCTTGCGCCCTTAGCTCCTGCCCACCTAGCAGCTCGAAAGTGTAGCAAGTGAGAGGAAAAACGCTGGCGGCTCCTTGCATGGGAAAACAGGAATTGGTTGCCAGTTGCTGGATGCAACGCAACAGAAGAGACTCAATTTCCTACGACTGCCAGCTGGGCTCTGCCCTAGGAAGGAGGCAGTGGCAAACCACTTTCAAAAAAACCTTGCCAGGAAAACTGCAGGGACTCGTCCAGGCAGTCTCCGTAGAATTGGTCATGATTGAAAGCAGATTAAAAAAAAAAAAGCAAAACAGACTTACTGTTTGTTTATAGAGATCTTGGCCTCTTTAAAGGCCAGGATCTCTTTTTGGTACTAGATGGAGGTCATGCTCCCTCTGAAGAAATAGGTTTGTTACTTGGAAGTACTCCTGGAGTTTTGGCTGCTGCTGGAGCAGCAGGTGGAGGTTGTGGCCAAAGGATCTATGCCCAACTTTGATGGGTGTACCAATAATGGCTCTACCTGGGCTAGAAGGTGCTGATGACAATGATTCATAACCTCTTACCCATGATTGGACTGGTAAAATGGGCTTTCTCTGGGGCTTCCTTTGAGATAATTTGGAAGGTACAACTGGTGTAAGATGTATTAACTGCTTGCAGGTAGATCCTGCCAATGTAGAATGACACTTATTTTATTGGTGCTCTGTTGCTTCCAAGTCCAATTCAAAGCGCTATACCTATAAAACCTTATACAGCATGGCACTGGACTGCTTTAAGCAGTCTTTTAATAGTTAAAAGCTTTAAGCAGTCTTTTCTTATCCAAAATGAGTCTTCTCATCCTTTTAGGTCATCCAAAAAGGGCCTTCTTAGGGTGCTGCCCTCTTGAAAAGTAGGGGAGCATGGGTCAGAAGTGTTGTGACCCCAGCTGTATGGAACACATAGCCCCAGGAATGATCCTTCATTGTTGGCTTAGTAGGGAAGAAGGATGACCACCTTCTACCTGTTCTTGATAGTTATTATTGAGGTGATTATTTATATGTTAAGACTATTGTTGACATTCTTATACAGCATCCACAGTCATGAAATTGGGGTAGTAGAAAAATTAAAATATAGAAATTGTACATACATTACCCATTCACTGTCTATCTGTGTTTAACTTTCAATGATACAAGCAACAATAATTGCCTATGCAGGGCAGAAAATAAGTGCAGAATGTAAACTACTTCTCAGCCTTTGTTGTGACTTTTTTTTTTTTAAGGTTACCTGCTTGCAAGACTTTTTTGGTGATGATGATGTTTTTATTGCCTGTGGACCTGAAAAATACCGTTATGCTCAAGATGATTTTGTACTGGATCATAGTGGTAAGCATATACATCTAAAATGTGGATAAGAATCCATTTAAGCCAGTAGTATATATTGATTGACTGAACATGATATAGACAATATATGGTCCGATCTTACGTGGTTACTGATAGGATCACACCCTGGAGGAATATACAAGTGTATTAATTATTTATTTATTAAACTTGTGATATCATTCAACCATTTAAGTCTCTAATCAATTTATAGGAAGTTGGCTGCTGACTTAAATGGTTGAATGATATCACAAGTTTAATAAATAAATAATAAATACACTTGTGTATTAAATACACTTAATAAAAACATTAAGTCTCTAATCAATTTATAGGAAGTTGGCTGCTGACTTAATGTTTATATAATGTTTATATGCATATAAATGTGCATATAATCAACTCCAGATTTAAATGCTTTGAATCCTAACAGACCATTTTCTCACTAGTGTCTTTTGGTAAAACCCATCCATTTTGGTTATGATATAGAGGTCATCTTCATTATCCTTATATCTGCACAGCAGTGGTTGGGTGATGCTATAGCATAGTGTAATTCACTAATGGGAGACCCAATTTGGTGTATTGGTTAAGGCATCAGACTAGAAACTGGGAGACCATGAGTTCTAGTCCTGCCTTAGGTGCAAGCCAGCTGAGTGACCTTGGGCCAGTCACTCTCTCTCAGCCCTGGGAAGGAGGCAATGGCAAACCCCTTCTGGAAAACCTTGCCAAGAAAACTGCAGGGACTAATCCAGGCAGTTGCTAGGAGTCAAAAACCGGCTTGAAGGCACCCCCCCCCAAAAAAAAACACTAATGAGGAAATGGCCATTGTTGAAATCACTTTACGATGTAAGTAATTTCTTCAATTTATTTAATACGGATAGTTGTTTTTA